CCTTGAGAGTCAATGTTTTGCGATATTATTCCAGCCTACTATGTAGTATGCCATTGGTTGCAGTGCATCGAAGAAAAGAACGAATCCTGGTAAATTTTCCTGCAGTAATATGCCGCTCCTCTACAGAGCATACTTCTGTATGACTTTCACTTTGTACACAAGGTCAACTTCACAGCTCGGCTCCCGTATGAGTTTTTTCTCACTGAAGTTTCACCACCCATGACGTCACTCAAAAGAGTATTCCTTCCTCTTCTTGTAATTTTGAGATTTCTTTGTCAAATAGCAACCCATTTGTCACTCACTGCTCGGTTTCATACCTAGCACATATAAAATCATCGCGCACGGTTTTCGAGGAAAGAGTGCCTTCTAGCCCTTTGTTTTTCAAACGATTAGCGTTTTCACAGCATTGTCCATGGCTTCCTTTCCTTTTTCGTCCTGTGATCTGAAATGCTATTGGATGAATTTTATTCATTGTGAATATGCTTCGATCAGCAGGCTCTACAGAGCGCGACTGTGCCGGAACGATAGCCGAATGAAATTAAGATCAATCTCGGATGCTCATTCAGATTCAACTAGGCAAGAGCAATCTATGCAAAGGGCACTCCTTTTACACTCTGTAAATCCAGGCCTTCGCTAGGCTATCAGGTGCTACAGTCGTTTTCCAATGCCAAAAGTTGAATTCTTCTAGCGCCCACATAAACTGCCAGGTGCCCAACCTCATATGCACAATGTTTGTTTCGTGTTCTATTGACGCTCGAGGTAATTGACTAAATAAATAAACTATAGAAGAGAAAAGAACGACAGGCATCTTTTTAAACTGATCATCGAGTTTCCTGTGCACCGTACAGCATAACATAATCGCGTAGCGGTGGTTCCAGTGGCTCACCGAGAAAATTTTCTATTTCCTGCGGTCACACTCCAAATTCCGGAAACACTGTCGTCTGCCTGCACTCGTTGGTCCGAGAGAGCTAAAAACGGGTGCAATGATACGTTATTCCTTATCAGGCAAATGTAGAATCTCCCATTCATTAACGAAAAATCCACAGTGAAGTATCATAGTTGTTTTAGATCCTATCAACATCTAATAAGCGGAACCGATGTAGTGGTA